TTTAAATCAAAAGAGATGTCTTTTGATGCAAATGCTAACACCTATGAAACATAAACTCTTATATGTACTTTTCATAAAAACATAATTTAAATAAAAAACTATAACTTTTAAATCAAAACCCACAACTTTTACTAAACACTTAACCAATGCAGGATTACAGTCCATCCAAACCTTCAAGGACCAATATCTGATAGCTGCAAATGCTTCACCAGTATTTGTGCAAGCTCTCTGTGGAAAAAGATTTTGCAGGTTTCGCTATTGACATTCTCATTGGTGGAGTTTCTACTACATCTTCCAAGATTGCATCTACCTCTATTGAACGAGTTAAACTTTTGAATGTTACAAATGATGCTGGACTGGCTTCATACCCAATTAATACTTACTAGAGTGTAGATATATATTATCAAAGTCAAAGAGTAGATATATATTATCAACGCCAAAGATCTACACTTAAAAAAGAAGAATATTAACATAATTTCTATTGAGACATTTCAAAAAACACATGGTAGGTGAACCTTAAAATCATTATCTATCAATCAAACAAGACTGCATATATACGGGTACACCTGAAAAACTGCATACTCAAGACAAAATACACGATTTTCTTTCTTCTAGTTCAACTAGACACATAGTTTTCTACTTCGTGTTCTATAATTCTAAAATGACCTAATTATATAATTCTTATATTTGCTTCTCACTTCATTATAATCTTCCTCAACAAATCTGGATGGAAATCTTCTAGTTAACCTAAATCGGAGCTAGACTAAGAATGTATTCTGAAATTGGTTGAAACGAAGTAAGAATTGAATCGAAGTTTATCAAATTTCATCAAACTACCTTTGAAGTTGCAAGCCGAAATTTGCAGAAGTTTTGTGGTTCGTCATTGTGCGATTGAACTGTTGCACTTCATCGGAGGTTTTGCTGTTCGTCATTGCGCGATTAAACTTCACCAGAGTTATTGCGATTGTCATGAGCGATTTCACTTCACAAAAGTTATTGAGAAGGTGCCCTGTCTCTATTTTAGTTGCAGAGATAAGTTAGAAGGTAGAAATAAATTAGCGGCAGAATGTCGTCGTATTAAAATGGTGCGCCTTCGCAATTTTTAAATCGGACCCTTGATCAACTTTTATATATATATATATATATATATATATATATATATATATATATATATATAATAAAGATCAAATGAGAAGACATCTTAACGTGAGAAGTGAGAAGCTTCACATTTGCCTCTTTCTGATGCACTTTTGCACTAATCTGGTGCACTTTTTGCGATGATAGAAAAGTTCTGATTAATTACAAAAATGCCACCACGTCTTGCATCACTTTTTTAATTAATCGGAACTTTTCTGCCATCGCAAAAAGTGCACCACATTAGCGCAAAAGTGTATCAGAAAGAGACAAATGTGAAGCTTCTCACTTCTCACGTTAAGATGTCTTCTCATTAGAACCCAACCCTATATATATATACATACATATACATATATATATATATATATATATATATATATAACAAGGATCAAATGAGAAGAGTGTTTATCGTAAGAAGTGAGAATGCATCTGGTGCGTTCAATTTAAGATCTAATGGCCGGAAAAGTGCAAAAAATATTAAAAAAGTGATGCAAGACGTAGTGGCATTTTCGTAATTAATCGGAACTTTTCTGCCATCGCAAAAGGTGCATCAGATTAGCAAAAAAGTGCATCCGAAAGAGGCAAATGTGAAGCTTATCAGTTCTCACGTTAAGATGTCTTCTTATTTGAATCCAAGCCTATATATATGTGTGTGTGTGGTGTGTACGTTAATTAAATATAATTATGCCTAATTTCATTCAAATAAAATATATATGTCGAAACTAATAGTAAATAAATGTATAAAACGTGTATGAACACCTGATTTTATCGAAAACCCCGAAAGAGTGAAAGTCACGAAACTTTTCGGACTAATATTCAAGTCACTCTCATTTTATTAATCTCTCCTCACATTTACATTATACAAAAGCTTTCATTAATGGAGTTTACATGCCATTTAAGAGATAAATTGAGTGGGGAAGAAGAAGAAAGCATCCCCATACAAGGAGGGAAAGCCTCCCATAAATAGGAAAAGGGAGAGGGTTGCAAAACAACTCTAGTGGGCCGAAATGGATCGAATTGGCCAAAAATGGTCCGGTGGGCCAAGATGTGTCACGCCCATTGGGCTCCTAAAGAGTAATAGGTCAGGATATATCCCAACAATATACTCCGTATAAATTAAGCTAAAGTAAGAATACTGGACCACAAAATTGAATACGAAAAACACAAGGAAATTAAAACATCGATATTAAAGATTACGATATATATGTTTTTAATAACTAACATTGCGTTATCTCTCTCTAGGGTTACCCACCGGTAACGCCTAGGTCAAACAGCCGCCGCCGGCTTCTCATCAGGCTTGCGCCGGGAGGCCGTGTGAAGCGAGATTTCATTTACGAGCTTTGTTTATCGAAGCGTCGTTGCTCTACTTTTTTGGGATTTTTGATACATCTTTCGAGTCAGTTCGGAAGGTTGTTGCGGTCAAAGCTTTGGAAGTCAGTTAGTCAAGAAGGGTAGGTTCACTGGACTGCATCACATTGGGAGTAAAATCGGCCAACGATTTTACCGAGAGAAAGAGGGAGAAGGGTCGCCTGCATGGAAAGCGTGGTGAACAAGTACAGACAGATGGTTTTGGAAGAGGAGGAGGAAGAACTGGACCTCGACAATACGGAGGCGGGCGAGGAGCTGAAGGAGGAGAGTAGGTCGGGCTTCCCGGTGGTCGGGGTTCTGTTGACGGACCGAAAGGTCCGATTCCCGGCGATCAAGGAGATGTTAGCATTGCTATGGAGACCGGGTAAAGGCCTATTAGTTAAAGAAGTCGGGGAGAAAAGGTATCTCTTTACTTTTTATCACCGTTTAGATATGAATCGTGTTATGGATGGAGGACCATGGCAATTTGAGAGAAATTTATTGCTATTAAAAGAGGTTAAACCTGATGATATCCCTCACAAAATTGTCGTGAATGAGGCAGATTTCTGGGTTAATGTTCATAATGTGCCTTATAGTCTGGTTAATTTAGGTACGACCCGGAGAGTTGGAAATTTTATAAGAAAGTTTATAAAATACGATGATAATCAGAATAGTGATAAGTGGGAGGCCTATATGAGAATACGAGTTTGTATGAATGTGGAGAAAGTACTGAAAAGTGGTACTCATCTAAAGAAGGATGACAAAAGTTACTGGGTAGATTTTAATTATGAGAAGTTGCCAAACTTCTGTTTTTTGTGGATTAATTGGACACTCAGACAAATTCTGTCACTTGAACTACGAAGAAGATCTAGTTTTGGAGAAAACGTTCGGTGTTCATCTTAGAGCAGGTAGTGGATGGAAGACGAGTCCTACAGGAGGAAACCAATGATTACTGGAGGGTTCATCGAGCTCTGGCAGGGACCATAGGTACGAGGAGGGGGCTAAATCAGAGGATAGGATGAGAGACGGTAGAAAAGAATCGGGAGCAGAGTCAGAACAGAGTATACCAAAGGGCGCAGGAGGCGAGAATAAGGAAGAAGCAACAGGAAAACAGAAGCGCATGAGGCTATAGGAGACACGGGGAGATGAACTGCAAGGGAGGGATAGTATGGCACTAGATGGGACAAAAAACGGGGAGGAGGCGAGCTTTGAGCAGTAGGCCCGCCTAAGAGAATTCAGAGTGAGAAGCAAGAAATCTTGATGAGGGTGCAGAGCAAGCAGATCGGGAGGCAGCATATTACTACCTCCGTCCCGAAAAGGTTTGCCATATTGACTTTTCTTGGTCAATGATGGCAAACTTTGGACGATGATTTTAATTATTATATTTGTATATAGTTTATAAATTTTATACTTTTATGAAAATATTTTGAATGATGAACATTTTGATATAATTTTCATATTCTAAATAATTTCGTATGAAGAAATATCATTAGTCAAAGTTGATTGTCATTGACCAAGAAAAGTCAATTTGGCGAACCTTTTCAGGACGGATGAGTATTTTTTATTTTAGCTTTTATTACTTCTCAGATTTTTCCGTTTGTTTTTTATTTTGTTTAGCTGTTGTTTTTCCTGTTTCTAAGACATTGGATTCAGATGTGGGTGACATCATAATTGGGGTAACCGTTTTTGGCTCATTTGTGCCCATTAATGGATCAGCGAGTTATATTGCTTCTGTTGAGGTGATTAACTCTGAGTCTGGTCGTGGGACAGCGCTTGTCAGGATTCTATTTGTCGAAATACCCATTATCTAAATGTTGAGATTTCAATTTAAGCCAAACTCTTCCAAAAAAAAGATTACGATACTACATCCGTCCCATAAAATTCTTCTCACTTTCCTTTTTGGGCCGTCCTAAAAAAATCTTCCCACTTACCATTTTTGGATAATTTGTGTGGTTCACATTCATTTCACTTTTTTTTATACAACTACAACCACACATTTCCACTTTATTCCACTTTCTTAATCTTCGTGTCAAGTCAAAGTGGGAAGAATTTTCTGGGACGGATGGAGTATATATTTTCACAATATTCGCTTATACCTATAGGGCACTATTAATTAGTGCATCTTCTAATAGCTATAGATACTACTTCTGTCAATATTACTGCACTTTTTTTGTACTATAGCCAGGCATTTGAATTCGCTAGGATAAACCATTTAAGGTCTTGTTTATGTTGCTCAAGTCTTTCTAGTTTAGTTTAGCAGCATAATTTAAAGATAACAGCTAGCTAGCTAGCTAGTTGATTATATTCTAGTCTTTCTAGATAGACATATTTATGGTTTATCATAAGTAATTGCGAATCTTATTTCCTAAAAAAGAAAAGAAACCAAGCGAATATGTATTTGTGGAGGTCAATTAGGTGTGTGTATTATGACCATTAAATGAGGAATCAATTTGAGGAAGAATAATTAAGAGCATCCTCATCTTCTAGGAATCCAATTACAAGGCTTATAAATTCACCAAAATCACTCTCTATGTTCTCATCAAGCTAGCAAAACCCCTAGACAGAAAGAAAACAAACCTTCCCACAAAAAAAATGGGTCTCCAAAGTGAAATGATGATCCCTCATCAAGCTGGCCATGGGTACAAGAACCAGGCCAACTACTCTCATGAAGAGGAAGACTACTATTCCTACAATGATGGATATGACTCCTCCAGCATGCAGATGATGAGGCCCAGCCCTAACCCTAATTTCAACTCCCACTACTTTATGTCCTCCGCCGCCCAACCGCCGCAGTACCACGTTGCGCCGGCGCCGGGACATAGCTACCCGCGGCCTATCCCGCACCACGGCTTCGGAGACGACGGCCACTATGACCATTACTACGAAAACAAGATGCACCATGAGTTCTCCAAAGCTTACGATGGCGGCAAAGAACAGTGTCACGATGATGATGACGTTCACGGTTTCGGCGGCGGCAAACATCACAGCTTACACGACGATCACGGGTTTGGCGGCGACAAACACGGGTTTGGCGGTGACAAACACGGGTTTGGCGGCGAGAAACACGGGTTTGGCGGCGGTAAACAGCACGTGATCAGCTCATCAGTTGAATCCTATTATGGGCAGAAAGGGATGAAGAATAAGCAGCTGGTTCCCACTCTAGCTGCAGAGGGTTATAAGTTGCTGGGCGGCGGCGGCGGCGGCTTTGGAAGTAAGATTCTGGATGGTGTTAGTCGTCATCAGATGAGCCGCCGTCCCGATGGGTTGTTCAGGGAAAAGAAGAGCGACCACTGGGAACTCAAGAGTATTGATGATTGAAACCTATAATTATTAAAACCTAAGCTAATTAAGCAAGTCCATATAGGCATATATATATATACTGTATAATAAGAATCTATCTGATCCTTATATATTACCGATCTTAAATAACTCAAAATTAAAAGGCCCAGCTTGCTAGCTGCTGCTTATTACAGACTTGTCCCTTCCTCCCGTTTCTAAGAATGGAATGATATATATTAAGGATATTATTGTCATTATATATATATATTTGATTGCCTAAGTATAGGAAGTTAGGAACCCATCGATACACCATGATATGATGGGGAGGTGGAACACTGTATTACGTGGACAAAGGATTCGTAAGCTCTCAACTTTACAATTTGCAATTTTCGGGATTTATTTAAGGTATGTTTGGAGTTTGGAGACAAGGGGAAGGAAAGACATTTAAGGTATACGTTGGTGTAGGGGAAAGGGAGGGAAAGGGAGGGAAAGGTGAGGAAATCATTTTTCCTATATGGGAATAATTAATTTGGAAGAACAGGGTCTTTGAAAGAATTATAACTAAAATCACATTCAAATATGACAAATTGAAATAATTTAATTGATATTCATATTAAGTTAAACTTAAATTATCATTTAATTAATTACCCATCAAATCCGTCCAAATTTAGGGAACTTCAAAATTGAGCATTTAGAGACTTTTGGAGAGTTACAAAAACCCTCCAAATCATCTCCTTCAATTTTTTAAACTCCCAAACATGAAAAGGAGAGCCATAAACCCGCATAAATCTTCCCCTCCCCTCCAAACCCCAACTCCCAAACACACTCTTAGTCTCTTAGAGCATCACCGATGGGTATGTGTTAACATTAATAAAGATGGCCGGTTCATCAATGTTAACAATGTAATTGAAATTTACGTCTCCAATGGAACATATCTGGACTTATGTAATGGTGATGTGTCAAAAAATTTTGTGAACAGTGTTAACATGAATGTTTACAAATAACAGCGTACTTGACATTGCTGACTCAACAAATTTGATTGAAGAAAAATCTGGGAAATTCTGCCGCACATGCCAAATTCTACACTCCAAACCAACGCCACTAGCCCACGACATATACTTGCAGCAAGGAGTGGGTTTCTTTCACAACTTGAAGCCGAAGTTGAAGCTGAATTCGGATAGGTTACATTTCACGTGCACCAAATATTTTTCTGCTGATTTTTATTTATTTTAAAACAAAAAGACTTGTTACACGTAAACATCATTATGGGCCGTGAACATTATGCATTGGAGAATAATTTTGGATTCGACGGTTTATTTATATCACTTATATATGACATTGAAGACTATTCCATTTATTGATTGTCATGTGTCCAGATTTGTTCTATGTTAACGATGTACCATTAAAGATGCTCTAAATAAATCGTCGAATCCAAAATTATTCTCCAATGCATAATGTTCACGGCCCATAATGATGTTTACGTGTAACAAGTCTTTTTGTTTTAAAATAAATAAAAATCAGCAGAAAATTTTTTGGTGCACGTGAAACGTAACCTATCCGAATTCAGCTTCAACTTCGGCTTCAAGTTGTGAAAGAAACCCACTCCTTGCTGCAAGTATATGTCGTGGGCTAGTGGCGTTGGTTTGGAGTGTAGAATTTGGCATGTGCGGCAGAATTTCCCAGATTTTTCTCCAACCAAATTTGTTGAGTCAGCAATGTCAAGTACGCTGTTATTTGTAAACATTCATGTTAACACCTGTAGAGTATATCTCCTGAATTCTAGAGAGAAGTGAGAGCTAGAGAGAGAAGTGCAATAATATGCTTCAATAGAATGATTTTGTAACCCCTATAACTACTCCCAAGGGGAGTATTTATAGAGAAAATTAGGGTTGGGCTCCCAAGCCTTGGGCTTGGGAGGCCCATTTACAACTGGACCGCTACTGGGCCGAATACAAAGCCTCTAATGGGCTGTACAAATGAGTAAGTATAGGATCCGATTCTGGGAGGTCTTCGAGGCCGACGAGGGCGTGGCCGACGAGGGCACGGCCGACGAGGGCACCCGAGTCCCTCAGACTCAGGACCGTAATCTGAGTTGGCACCTTTTCGGCCGACGGGGGCGTCATGGCCGGCGAGGGCGCCACTCTGTTGCCTTGTGCTCCGTTCTTCCGAGTATGTGGGTCCTGGGGCTCAGACCCATATACTCCATCAGGAGTCCCCCACTCTCCAAGCTGAGACGTAGACGAAGTGAAGGAGAGTAGATCCCAGGCCGTTAGCCGTTGCGGCGTTGTTTCCTCTTTGGTGATCCTGTTCTGTGCTTTGGCCGTTACCTGTTCCTCGCTGTGGGCGGGGAGGCCGTTGTTTCCTTAATTTGTTTTGGGACGATTAGTGTCCTTCTTTCAATGGTGGCCGTTGAAGGCGCGCTTTCCATTTCCTGGACGTTGGTGGTTTGAAGTTTATGTTTGGGCCGGTGAAGCCGTTGAGGTTGTTCCTTGCTTTGAGGACGATGGCCTCATTTCCTTTGTGTGGCCGATGAGGGTGTTTGCGCGCTCCTTTTGGCCGCTGCTGGTTGGCCTTCGTGTTTTTGGCCGAAGAGCCCGTCAAGATTAATTGTTGGCGGAGGACGATGAGTGTCCTTGCCTCTAGTGGCTTGTTGACCGTTGCTGGTGACGTTATGGGCCTTTGGCCGATGAAGTTCTGTTGTGCTGTATGGATGATGTGGCCATGCTTTGTGGTTACCTTATTCGCACTCTTTTGTTTTGTTGAGGCCGGTGTAGTCCCCCAGTCCCCCACTGCTTCAGGCCGAAGAGTGTGAGGGGTGAAGGAGTTGCTTGAGTCCCTGGCCGAAGCGGTCTCGCCGTAGTCCCCCTGAATCCAACTCTCATGGCGATTTTCTGGCCAAGGTAACCCTGTGGGAGAACCCTTGTGCGCAGATCGCTTGTAGAGAGTTATCATCAAGGGTTATTACGAGGAGCCGAAGGCTGTGGGCTATTTGTCCCCTTTGTTCTGTGGCCGTTGCGTTCCTGGCCGTTGCCATCCGCTTATTGTTTGGCATTTGTGATCTTGGTGAGCAAGTGGGACGTTGTGGGCGCTTGCTGGCAGTTGTAAAGCCGCTGAGCGTGTGTAGGCCGTAGGGTCTGATTTGCCGGTGGGCCGTTGATATGGGTTGGTCCTGGCCCGTTGGTGACGTGGTGGCCCCCCAGTGGTGGCCGTTGATGTGGCCATTGGGTGAGTGCCACGTGTAGTGACCGTTGGTGGGGGGTCTATAAATACCCCTTCCCCTCCGACGAAGAATCATATTTGCATTCTGAATTTGTCGAAGTGCTGGCCGATTTTCTAGAGAGATAAAACTCCCAAGCCTGTTCTTCGTGTTCTTCGTTGTTTGAGGTTAGTGTTCATCACGATTTTCCTCACTTTTCATATTTTGCTCCGTAAGTAGTTGATCTAGTGTTAGGCATTTAAACACCTCTAGATCGTAAATTCTCCTTAAGCCCGTAGTAGTAGTAATGAAGAGCTTGAATGGCGACTACTACCCCTACGACGACCAGCCCTCCACGAGGTCGCTTGACTACGAGGTGCTCGAGGAGTTTGAGGAGGAGATAGAGCGTTTAAGTCCATACAAATCCGCGGAGCCGATGGACGAGGAAGGCGAGGACGAGGAGTCCGCCTCTTCTTCAAGGGGTGAGGACGTAGGTGCGTCCCGAGTGGTGGACGGGGCGTCCACTTCTGCTTTCATTCCGTGCCCGAGGCCGGTGTCCGCCGTTAAGGGAGCCGCCAAGCCGAAGAGAGTGAGGAGGCCGAAGAGTGGGCCCGGCGTCTCCTACTTGGATCTCACCAACATCTACCTGATAAAGCCGGAGAGCAGTGCGGCCGACTATCTGGTTGCCCAGATGTACGTGGGGCCGTTCGGGCGGGTTAGGGCGCCCAAGCCGACGGACCATGTTCTTCTTCCACCACCGGGATACTTTGGAGTATACCCGATGAGTTTTGCTAAGGGGTTGAGGTTTCCTCTTCACCCTTTCATTACTGAGTACTTGGACATGGTAGGGCTTCCTCCGGCCTTGCTGACGCCGAACAGCTACTCCTTGATGGTGGGGTTCTTGCTCCGGTGTGAGGAGTTGGGCTACAAGCCGACGACGGCATTATTTATGAATCTGTACCAGATAGGCCGAGGAAGCCACAAGAACTGTGCGGCCTACGCTACTCTTCAGCAGCTGCCGAAGAAGAGAAGCTTCACGGATTTGCCTACGTCCATTCATGGGTGGAAGAGCAAGTTCGTGTTTGTGTCCATTGGTGAGAGTGGCACCGAGTTTCCCTCCCTCGGCCACACCGGGAGATTTAATCTGCATGACCCGCCGAAGAGCTCTATTTTGGACGCTCAGGTGGAGGCTTTCCTGGAGGGGGGGCCGAGGAGCGTGAAGGATTACATCACTGAGTACAAGATGGCCGCCCTCGGCTTCGTGAGGTACTACGTTTATGGTGACAAGGAGGATGACCTCCAACTCTGGCCGAGGATGACCACCACCTTTGAGGAGGCCGACGGCCCGGACTTGGGCATTCCTGCTGAGGCCGATGGTAATTCTTTCTTCGGCTTCCTGTCTTTATGTTTTGTCCTTTGCCTTACTAATCTGTTTGTGTTTTTTCCTTGTAGATTTTGTCATGGACCGCCGTTCCATGATGGCTATTGCAAAGGCCAAAGCGGCCGAGGAGATTGCTGCTAAGGCGGCCGAAGCGGCCAGGCGTGCCGCGGCCGGTGGGAGCGGGGCTACTGCAGATGCGGCCCCAAAGCCTGCCCCATCCAAGAAAAAGAGACCGGCCACTGACGGCCAGAAAAAGTTGACAGAGGCCGGCGTGAGCGTCTCTAAGAAGACGAAGAGGGCTCCTTCCCCTTCTCCGGCTAGTGAGGCCGGTACGCTTACTGTCCCCAGCGTGGGCGATGGTGGTCCCGTCGTGGACCTTACTATTGCTGGTGATGCCGCCCCAGCGCTGCCTCTCGTCCAGGAACCACGGACGCAGAGGGCCGGCAAGGAGATCGCCGGTGACACCTATCAGAAAGTGATAGAGTACCCCGTCGGCGGGGGCGTGTTTAATGAGCTCGTCCCCGGCCACGTCGTCCTGGCCAAGGCCATGCCGGCCAAAGATCGGGCTCATTTGAAGAAGCTCGAGGACCCGAAAATTTATGAGGGCGGCATGGATCTTCTCGTCCAAGTAAGTGATTGTCCTTATATTCTTGTCTCTCTTCGTC